CATCCTTTTTTCCTTGCTTTGAACTTCTGTAAGTTTCCAAGTCCCAAGCTTTATGCTTATTACCTTCTAGATCTAGGTATGTATGCTGACTTTGGTCCCTTTGTGGAGTTATGTTGGAGTTTGGGTAACTCCTGGTTCATAAGTCATGTTTTGGGATCTTTTGGACCCATTGTAATTGTAAAGTTAGAACTTTGCCTTCTTATTAACATGCATGGTGTTGGTTGCTTATTTGGTCCCTTAGAGAAGTTAGGGTTTGAGATCTTCATTGTTTATGCGTAAGAAATGGATAAAGTTGGAATCATTACTCGAATCGGCTCTGAGCTTTAAAGTTGTGGGCTTAAGGATTAAGAGCTTAATATATTAAGCTTGGACGTTCTTCGCAACGTTGTCGTGTTAAGCAACCATGATTGTTTTGGTTTTAAGTAACTGCGGCGCGACCAAGGAGCTAGTCGTGATGTGGTGATGGTTGACTGTTGACTTTGATCTTTGACTATTGGCTTTTGACCAATTTGACTTTTGGTCAATTTGGAGGTTTTGGGTTATAGATTGAGTTTTAGCTTAGCTGACTTGTTGGACTTTGAGTAGTTGGTTTCAGAGTTCTTTTATTCAGGTGAGCGTTCTCATTATATTATGTAGGACACTGGGTGTCAACGTATGTTTGTTACTTGTATACTTACATGTTTTGTTGGGTGAGACCCATTGGGTTGGACCTGTTGGGCAAGGCCTGTATGGTTGAAACAGACCCATTAAGCAAGGCCCGCATGGTTGAAGCAGACCTGTTGGGCGAGGTCCATTATTCTGTTTTATATGTGGTATGTTGGGGAACCTACTAAGCTTCATGCTTACGGTTTTAAGTTTAAATGATTCATGTTGTTCTAGTAACAGGGAAAAGAGCCCAACATGATTGCATGGCATCCTTCGATATGTTTTGAAACTTCTGCACTTTTTATTTACAGTGTTGATACTCTGATTATTATTTTGAAACAAATGATTTTTATTAAATCCTTAAGAATGGAATTGAAACTAATGTTTTTGTTATTAAATGAAAATTTTATTGTGAAATTTGGGATGTTATAATATCTTGACAAACAAATATATTTAGTTATCTTCTAAATGTAAAAAAAAAATGTATATTAAATCATCCCAATATATTAGTTGTATGAAATGTCATTGAAGGTTTATTATTTTTCAAGTTGTAAGTCAAAGATAAAGTTAATTGCATGTAGTACTTAGGGCATCCATAATGCATTGAACTCTATACAGTTCAATGGAGTGTCACATCATCATTCACTATTCCATACAATTCTATTCATTTTTATCTCATAATGCATTAAACTCTACAAATTCAATAGAACATATTAAAAAATATTTATTTAAAGATTTAAAAACTTTCCTTTTTCCCATTGAAGAGTTCAATGGCCATTGAACTCCAAATCCATTGAATACCAAGGTGGCATTTCACACTGGTAGAGTTGTATCCATTGAATGACAAGTAAGCATGACACCTCATTCAACTCTTCTATTAAACTCCCCATTATGGATGCTCTTATAACCTTTCTAATACTCTTATAGTGTTCGATTTTATCTAATATGCTTCAAATTTATACTTCCAACCACCCATTGTTTTATCATTTTTTTTTGTTGTTAGATGTGACTTGAGAATTAACGAATTGAATGCATAACATCCCGTCTGAGCAAATTAAAAACATTGACACCCGATATCAACATTATAAGTGTTTGGAGTAGGTTGAGGGTCATTAGGTGCGACATTGTTCTAGTTAGGGTTACATTTTGTATTTCCTTATAGAATACTGATAGCTATGATTTTAATTGTATTATTGATTTTTTACCTCCTGAATAAGAATATTCTTTTATTCCTTATGGAAGTAGGTTCCATTAACAGAACCATGTTAAATATTATGGTCTTGTGTGATTTATTTTCTTATTAATACTCACCGGCCAACTATCATTAATTCAAAGCATCGGCAATCCATTAAACTATAAAAATTCAATGCATTGTCAAGTCCTTCATCGTAATTACAAAAGTGCCCTATTCAGGTCACCAACAGTCTACAGTTAAAGCTAAGAAAGTTGCAACTTGCAAGTATTAATTGTTACTATTTGTTCATCAGAGTCACTGGGCAATTGCATTCAGTCATCTTTTACTATCTGTGAAAGATTTTTTTTTTAAAAAAATACATGTATATTTGTCCTAAACAAAAAACATCAATGATTCATCTAATTAAGGATGAAGATTATTACAAGGGAAGCAACCACAAGAGCCGCTGTGGCCAGAAAAATGCATGTTTTGGTGATGGTTTATCGTCTTCTTCTTGGCTTGCTCTGTTGTTGCTTTTTCAATTTGCTCAGTGTGCTCAATCTGAGCTGCTGCTCTTAGCTCCTCAGCTTTTCTATGAACCAATGCCATTTTTCTCATCATCTTCTCCTCAAATTTTGATCTCATCTTTTGAATCTTTACCTACAAATACAATATATTAATATGATTATCCCAAGCCCTTAATTATCACATTACAGATTTACAGTCAAAACCAAAAGATATGAAATCAAAATATATATCCTTTCCATGTAACTTTTGTTTGCATGCCAACTTTTTTTAATCATATTCAAACTCCAAGCTCAAATCCCAAGTTACACCACTGTGAATACTGAATAGTAGCTTCACATGGCTTGGTGAGTAGCATTGAATATTTGAATAAGAGATTTTGGACCTTTCTGATGCTGTATTTTTTACTATATATTTTAAACTTTGCTTTGGAACAAAGCAACAACAAGTTGAACAGCAAAATAGAATAGTTTAAAACATTAATACTTTGAAAAAAAAAAAAAAAGATTTGTTTTTACCTCAAGCTTTCTTGATTGAGCTTCTGCTTTAGCATTTTGGAGATCCACCCAAGCTTGAATTTTTGCTTCTTCTCTTTGGTACCTACATTACATAAAATCACAAAAGTCAAGTTAGTCAACATCGATCTTTAATTACACCCAAAACCATTTATGCACATAAACACAAAGATAAGGTTATTCACCTTAAACAGCACTTAGTCTTCTCTTCTTCTTCCCAAACAGAAGGTCGAGGCTCTGAAATGCTTGTTCGACATTCATAGTTCATCTCAAAGTGTCTCAAGCTCTTGGAAATTTCCTCTTCTTCCTCCTCCCTGGAGCTCCAGTTTGAAACAACCAAATCAAAGGGTGTTCCTAGCTTGAATTTAGCTAAATTCAAATCTTGTAATCCTCCAATATTGTCAAAGGAGGTTTTGATGTTTGGATCCAATGGGCCTGACCTAGTTGCAGGTGTGTTGTGTCGCGGTGGTGACAAGCTTTTGAACGGCGTCGGGCATCGAGAAGTGGTGGAGCTCCCAAGAGGAGTCATCTCCGTTCCAATGTCTCTGCTAGATGGATCTTTGAATAGGAAGCTTTCGTTCAATGGCTCCGAACATTCCAGTTTCGAGAAATTGCGTACTACTTCGTTTGTGAATTTATCTGTGTAATAAATAATAAAAACTTAAAAAAGGTAAACATGCAACATTTGCAACATAAAAAGATATTCCATGCATGTACAAAAGAAGTAAAGCAAGGATGATTTATGCATGTGATGATAATACATGTTTATCTAATAAAAACAAAAATAGATGAAAAGGTAATAAAAGAGAAATGGTTTACCTTTTAGAACATCAAAAGATTCTGAAGGTGAGGTCCCATTCCCATTATGATGGCGGTGTTCTTGAATGATTGAAGCCTTTTCCGATGGTTTCTCCGATACAACTTTTATCTGTTGTTTGGTTACATGACTTCCATTACTGCTACTACTAGATTTTCTGGACACAAAATCTGCAGACTTTACAAAACCATTTAGATGGTGATGATGATGAGTGTTGGATTCAGGGTCCGAAACAAGCCATTTTTCAGCGTCATTCCATTTTGAGGGGACGAAGTTCTTTCTAGACGTATTATTCCCAACACTGAAGCTGAATACGGGTCGACCCGGTGTCGATGGAGCTTCGACCACATTTCTCTTGTTGTTACCAGCTCCTCCTCCGCCGCCGCCGCCGCCGCCGCCTTTGTTAGCCGGAAATGACTTAACGAAGTCGGAGGTTTCCTTGAGATTGAGCTTAGAAAGAGGATCAAGAGATGTGCTATCCACAAATGGGTTCCCTTTCCTGACTCCTACTACTCCCTGTAGAATAAAAGAATCCATTTAGCAACTTTTTATTAATTTAACAAAACCCAGGAAAAGATTTTTCAAGATAGAATTAACAAAGTAGGTACCCCATGAGAAGGTTGAAGGTAGTTGGAGTTGGAGGTTTTGAGATCCATAAGCTAGCTAGCAAGCAATGTGGAAGGTGTTATGTTGATCGAGAGAGAATTGGGTTGAACTAGAGATTGATTACTGTTAAGCTTTATTGGTTATGTCATATGTGTATGGATGACAGTAACGCCATGAAAAGGAGAGTTTTCTTGGGAGCTTTGGGAGGTGAGAAAAGCAATGTATTATGTATGGAAACCGATAAACGTGACTGATGGGGCTTGTCAAACTTTTTGTTTGTTTCTTTACACAATTTCTATAAAATTTCAAATCAAATCTTGCTGTTTCAAAATCGACAACATTTTCCCTGTTTGGGTATAAGTTTTAACCTCACGCATTTTAAAGATTCTCTTCTCCAGTTTTTGGAATATATGTTTTAACATGATCAAAACTTCAATACAAAGTAACAATTAAAGCTTTGAATATAAGAAAAACATTTAGCAAAAGCAAATTGACTATCAATGTACACATACAACAACGACAAAACACTCATGTACAAAAAAAAGGTTTGTGCTTTCTAACAGCCTTTTCTTTTTTCTCTTTCACCTTGCAACAAATAACAAACCAATTCTCTAAATCTTTTTCCCCAGAATATTCATGGATGCTCAAAAAAGAATATTAAAAACACTATATATATGTAAAAAGTAAATCATGAAAATATACATCATTCATATATATATCATTCCACCACATCTTCAGTTTGTGTGTGTGACTTGCTTGGTACAACAGCTGGAGGAGACCATTGATCTGGTACCATAAGGAAGTAGGTTGTCATTGCTTTCCTAAATCTCTTTTTGTACTGTTTGGGTGAGATCACAGTGGGAGACGCGTTTTTGGGTCCACCAAGGAACCCGGAAGCCTTCACCCATGTCTCCAAATGTTTGTCCCATGTATACTGTCTCATGAAGTCGATAATCCCTAATACCAGTTCGTGTTTCTCTTCGTCTACCCCAACTAGCAACGAATAATCCATCACATCAATCGACTGCATTAAAAAAAAAAAACAATTTAATTCAACCAACGTAATAAGAAAACAGTTATTTAATAATTAATACAACCAACTTACAGCAAGAAAAGCAGTATCATTCCAGACAGCTCTTTCCAACAAGCGTTTGGCTCTGTTTCCGACGAATATCGGAGAAGTTGGCATCGCTTCAATCAGATTCTGATCAAGTAATACTTTGTTGCTCCCACTGGAATCAGGATTATACCGTGATCTTGAAGACCCTTTTAGATCATAAAGCCGTGTTAGATTCCTTCCGAATAAAAGATTCTCCATAACCAGCACATCCATCTTCGATTCTTTCCCGCCTTTCATTTGCTTAGTCACCTTTACATCATCAAACAAACAATCTTCACGTTTGTCAAAAGGTGTTGACCATTTTTCCAAAAACTCGTCTTTCTTTCTCTCTTTTGCAAAAAAAGACCAAAGATGCATAAAGAAACCTTTTAACTTAAAAGGTTTTTTGTCGGTTTCAGGAGCTTTTTAGAAAACAAAATATGAATGCTTTTTCTAAAAGTGATTATTTATTATTTTTTATCTTTCTTACAAAACATTTCTGTAAAACGCACAGGGACCATTTGTCAAAAAAAAAAAAAAAAATTGGCCTCTTCAAAATTAATAATAATGAAAACCCAAAAAATACCACAAGAAAACAAACCAAAATAATAAAGATACCTGATAAATGCCCAAAATCTTAGCAAGACATGTAGGACTTCCAGTACCAATAGACTCGGATAGATACTTGAAGTATGCAGGAGCAAATTTGATAAACGACTCAAGCTCTGTTTTTGTAACTTGTTTGATTATGAACCTTTCATCCAAAGTTTTCGCAAAGAAAACATTACTTTTACCACCTTGAGCACCCCATTTTTTACATCGACTAAGAGACCGTATATAATCAAGTTCACAAGGGCAACAAATTCTCCTTAACGCTTCGAATCGTTTCGCATAGTAACAAGTCACCGTGTACTTCACTTTCCCAAGTGGTCCATCATCTGTAAACTCAACTCTCGCGTGTAAAGCTGTTGTATATGACACAGGGTCAAGCATCAGGGAGCTTCGAGATGCTGACATGGACAAAAGACTTTCATCGCCAATACTTCTAAGAGATTCAAGTGTTGTCTCATCAAAATTGGAAAACGACTGAAACATGACTGGATCAGCAGATTGTGATGTGAAGATAGAAGATGATGATGATGCTTCACCATCTCTTAGTCTTTCAAAATCACCGGACATTTGGGAGATGTAATCAGCTGAGAGCAGCGTGTATGATATGATACTTGTGGGTTCGTCATCATATACAGGGACAACAGTGTCATTTACACCCACTGCCATGAGCAACCTAGCGCCACCCTGGAGCTCAGATTCGCGATATGATGAGATGTAAACAGGTTTGTAATCGTTGAGTGTGTCCAGCTTTTGAGAACTTGATAGAAAGTTTTTATTCAAAGCCCGGTAAAAGTTTAAAAACGGCATGCTGAACCAGCTTGTTGTATCGTCTATATTTTCAGAATTTCGTGTAGACAATGAAGGAGATGAAAGTGATGACTTGGATTCTTCCACGCGATCACCCACCGAAGAATCTGCCACGTCAGCATCAGAAATGACAGATAGAGTATTATCCTTTTGTACCCCTGTGTGATTATTACCTGTCCAGGCAGCATCTAGGGTGTCGGACAAACTTGCCATAACAGAAAGCTGCCCTTCGGATAATGACCTATTTACCCCTACATCGTTTGATGTTGCTGGATCAGAATTTTCATGGTCGGAATCTTCGGTTTCTTTATTGATCACTTGAGGCTGAGTCCCAGTAACATCTGAATCTTTGTATGAATCGTTATTTTCGGATCTTGATTCGTTCAGATCGCCACGTGGACTGTTGCTATGAACACTGGCTGCATACACGAGTCGGTGGTCCCACACGTACGATTGGAATAACAGCTGTCTTCGCAATCGGTTAATCTCAAGAATATCAATCATGTTTTGGCCTTTCTTTCCCTCCTGGTTTAAAATCTTCTCAAGTGACTCCTGCAAATAAATATATTGTACTATTACCAGATATGTAAAAGTCCATAAGATATGTTGACTGTTCATATACGTATAGAAATAGGTCACCTCGAATTCTGCTTTCTCCTTTTGTAACATATCTTCCAAATCTGCTATCTGGCGTCTTGATGGTGAGCTACTATTAACTGAACTTTTCCCAAAATTCTTCTCTGCTATCTGGCTCAGGGCATTAAGGATTTCAGAAAATAACAGCTCAGCCCGGCTAACAACCTGTTCATGCAATCATGCATAAAACTAAATACATATTCCACTTGATCCAATAAAAAAATTTACAGATTTGTAATAATCAAACCTCATTCAATTCATTTTGTATCCACTCCTGATTCTCATATTTAAAAACAAGTTTCGCAGGTGGAAGGTAAACAGAATGGACATCAATGCGTGCATAGCGGAAGCAAGCAACCATTTTGCCAAACCTGCATATGAAAGATGAATCAAGCACATTCTTTTTAAGCCTTATAATAACTAATATCCCATTAAAAAATTAATTAATACCCATAAAAGCGAAGACAGTCCCGATGTAGTGAATGGCCACAGTTTGCAACCCTGCTAGCAGCAGCATGGTTAGAAAAGCTGAGTTCTAGAAACTTCCCAAATGATAAACCCCAGGCAGCATCTGACATCACAATTCTTCGAGTTGCAGGTGGGAATCCACTAACCCGTGGACACTTCAAGCACCTGTGCCACATCCAAATCTTACCTTCTTTTTCTCCTGGTAACAGAATTTCAGGCAACTTCTTCACGGATATGGTTAGGGTTCCTTGCCTATGTGTGTAACACTGTACATGTGCTTCTGAAGGCATCTCACACGAAGGACATCTATAACCCTGAAAAATATATGAACAACACATAACAAGTGATTGAGAGAGAGAGAGAGAGAGAGAGGGAGGGAGAGAGATTTGGCTTACTTGATCAAAGAGATTATCTCGAAGAAAACGTCCCAATGGTTTATCAAAGTTTCCATAATATTTGATGCGAAAAAGATGAGACCTTTCACAGACAGTCCCTTTCCAGACACATCGTGATGACAAAGATACCAAAATGCTCTGATGATCTGATGGTGTAGGAGGAAACTCTTCCTTTGATGAAACAGATTCCTCTTTCCCATTTTTTCCATCCATTTGCAGATACAATCCATCATCACTATTATGTGAACTCCTAACCAAACTGTGTTGGGGGTGAGGATGCCCAAACCCATTGGCAGTGACATCAGCAGTATCCTTTGTTTCAATTGGTGCATCAGTAGCATCTAAAGAATCTTGATGGTTATGAGCATTGGAGCCAAGTGGCATCAGCATTACTTGTGCCTTCTGGCTCATTATAGAAGAAAATACATCTGCCATAGGAGCATTGTTTGACCTTTCTGTTTCAGTGTATTTATGTGGGCCCTCATTTGGTGGGAGAGTAAAACCAGGTATTGTTGAAATTGACCGGTCAATACTTGATGCCTTATCAGGAAGTGCCACGGTTAGTGGAGAATTCAAGGGCAGTTCGGGCAGTGAAGCACCTTCATCAGCAAGAAAAGATGTCTCCAATGCCAAATGATAAGCAGCAAAAACTCCATACTGAACCACATGCTTCACTTTCTTCAATTCATCACCACTTGCACCTCTAAGTAATATCTAAAAAAATCAACAAGTAATAAACATTACAGATTGAAACACATACATACAGAAAGTCAGAAATCTTAACTTTTCATTTCTAACTTACAGTGCAACCAAAGGGTTTTGGACACCCTTCAAAGTACATCAATGTCTTCAAAGATTTCTTGCCAGCCTGGCCTGCAGTTCCATGTTCTTCAACAAACTTTTCAACATGGAACAAATCACAGTATCCCAATTTCTGAGAGGAAAGATGGTCGATTGAAGGAACTATCTGAGCACCAGTGCATCGGGCTATTCTTTCCAAAAGTGGCCTTTTGATATTCAAAACAAGTGATATGTCTTTCGCCAGAAGATATTCTTGTGCATATCGTGAAACTGATTTCTCTACCAAAAGTACATCAGGCTGGTGTGCGTCTATCTTTGCTACGGCCATCTTTAGATGATCCATTTCCTAGACAGAGGGGTAAAACAGTAAATTTAAATGAACCAACATTAGCATAAAAACAAAAGGAAAAAACAGAAACCTGTTGTAGTAAAGTATCAAAACTTGACAGGAGGTTAGAAACTCGTTGATACTCAAGAGCACCTCCAAGAATCATGAATCTTGGTTTCTCTATTCTTGATGTCATCCGCCTATGTGCCACATTTTTCTTACAAACAACTCCTTTGACCACCATACTGAAAAACCAAGAAATTTATATATTTAGATATCTGAAAATAACTATTTACATAAGATACTGAAATTCTTACCTGTCAGAACGACGTCCAGTAGCTAAACATTTTATCTTCACATAACCTCCTGGATCCATCCCACCACCTTTACTTGTGTCTGGTTTTAGCAATGATGCAGCCTCCCATGACAACGATGTGATTATCTCTAACCAATCATCTTTATCATCTTCTTCACCTACAGAAAGGTTCTCAACCTGCAACAACTGAGATACTAAAGCCCTAAAGTGTCCATCAACTACAGTCTTCATTGCCTGCTTGTGTTCTTCATTTGATTTATCCCTATTGCGAAACTCTCCACTCCCAACAGTGTCTGAACTACGGGTATATCCCCACTCTCCTGCACCATCCCCATCATCGTCATCATCAAATAGAAGTGGTTCTCTTTCATCTTCTTCGTCTTCAGGTTCAGGAGGTAGCCATAGGACACCATTGTTCTCAAAATCAACAGGCTCAGATTCAATCTCTTGTGCAGCATATAAAGATGAAGAAGAAGCTTCACATTCATCATTAACATCAGGTTCATCTTCTTTTTTCTCGAAATACCTGGAATCAAAACTGTTTTGTAATGAAGAACTGCTTTCACTTTTTGCAACAGTGGCTTCTTCTCCATCAGGATGCACTTTACGACATCCGTAATCATTGCCGACATCATCTAACTGTAGTTCATCATAATAGGAGTTATCAACAGCAAATTCATCGTTTAAATTTGATTCCATCACTGAAGATTGACGAGGACTAATTCCAGAATGATTTGGATTCTGTTGGTAAGAGTCGACTGAATGTGGGAAAGATGTACAAGTTACAAAACTACTGTCGGCAGTGCCACTAGATTTGGTACTGACGAGACTGACAGTGGAAGGAGAAGTGCTGAGATCCAGGCTGGTGACCTGGATCCCATGATCAACAGAGGTGTCTAAGCCACCTTGCTGCCATTGTTTGAAACAGTAATTACAAACCCTAATCTTCCCTGAATCTTCCCTGATGGTATCTGAATCAGTAGACTGTGGAGTCACCCAATTGTCAGTGCACTTGGCACAGAATACACGGCCACAAAATCTACAGTGATGTTTGCGATTGTAGAAGGTAAACTGGGAATCACACTCGTAGCAAACCCTGCAACTCTGATCGGGCATCCAAAAGTCCCTCGACACATTAGCTGGCTCGGACCGCCGAGGGACCCATGATTTCAATGCGCCTACCAGATCAGATAATCGGTTGTCCGATGCTTCCATGGACAAGCAATCCGCTTATCGCACTCATTGCAAAATACTCATCTGTCTACAACCACATCTGATTTTCAATACAAGGTTAGCGATTCAGAAAATCTAATCGACTTACTAGATCCTCGCCACAAAGTCCAACTCGAAACCACAGATCAGATCGATGGAGTTAAACCCCAAGGATCGTCGACGAATTCAAAACTGGGAATCAAACGTTTTAAAACCGGAAACAAGAAGTCTTACTCGAAACGCCAACGCGAATCTGGCTGTCGTCAACTTTAAACGCGGAATTATTAGTTGCAAGCCGATATTCCAGTCAATTGAATCAGAAGCCTACATCAGATAGATTTATGTCAAATAGACATGAAATAGCGAAGTATATAGTTGAATCTATTAAAAAACAAATTAAATATACAGGTATCAAATTAGGAAAGTAGGCATCATCTGTGATTGCAAGCTGTGTTACCTTTTGGATACCAATCAAGAATCCCAATCAGATAGATCCCCAAGGGTTTAGATTATAAAACAAGAGAAAAGAAAAGACAGAGATTAGAAAGGGAAAATGGACAGTCGCCCAACAGGCTTTGGACACGAAGTCATGGAAACCGTGAACCGCATACCGGAAAGGTAAAATTAGGTTTTCGTGAAGAGAAAGATGTTTGAAAGTTTGACACGGCGGTGATGGTTTTAAACGATTTGATAAAATGAAATGGATTTTCTTCTGGTTGTGATTCGTCGGTTTAATGAGAATCTACAATGGAGATCGAGAGTGTGAGGAGGGGCCGTAAAAGAAGACTTTTATTTCACCGCTTTTTCCAATTGCTTTGCTCGGAAGTACATACATAACATACATAACATCAAATTATCAATCACGGACACACCGGAAGCGGACGCCACGGGACCATCGCTTACTCTTTGGGTTTTCTTCTTTACTTTTGACATTGCTTAACCCTTTTATTTTCGGATAACACTGTAATTATCGGCTGTTAGAATTTATACAACAAGTTTTTGATGTATATATATATATATATATATATATATATATATATATATATATATATATATATATATATATATATATATATATATATATATATATATATATATATATATATATATATATTATTCAAACACATTCATTTTTAATAACACAGCAAACATTAATAAATAAATAAATAAAATTATATAAATATATTAAAGGAGGGTTCCAATTGAAGACTATTCTGTTCTTATTGGATTACTTCCATTTTTTTTATTTCTTTTTTCATGGATTTATTTATTCATTAACTTTTTTAACAGTGGATTACATGTGTCTTAACCTCACCTCTGCTCCTGACAGTGTATTACATGTGTCTTTGCCACTGCCCCCTGGTATCTACGTGTTTGTTTTCCCGCTTTTTTTTTTTGGCATATATGCCTTTCCACCGATTGTCTTTTACGCCTACCAGTTGTTTTCCTGTTGCTATACTTCCTGATCATTCACCACTCATGTTACCTTCCTTCCTGCTCCACCGTCTCTGTTGCCGCTTACCCCCACCACTTTAATCGCAGACTTCCAGGTACCATCTCCGACAGGTGAATCACTTGAACCTTGATTCCATTGTCAACCGCCATCGCCTCCAACGTTCAACTCCTCCTTTTGTTCTTTGTTGTTCGTCCCGCCGCCCTCTTCTCCAACAACATCCACAACGACTCGAGCAACAGGTAATTTTCTTCCGACCCTTGCTCCACCATTTGGGATTGATCCACCGACACAACACGCTGTTAATTCGGTTCTTTTTCATTTGTGTGGCAGCACCCCTTATCATTCTCTTCCCTCCTGCAATCGACCATCGACTGCGAGAGGGAATCAAATTTTCTTCCATCTTCTCTTTCTTTGCTCTTGCCAACGACTACTTCTTCGACTTCAATTTCATCATCGGCCAATATAAAAAAAAAAAAAAAAATCTACGTTCATGTCGGTTGTTCGTTTTCTTTCTTAAGTGTGAGGAACATGGTTTTTGGTTCAACAACCATTTAATCTGGCACCGATACCGTCTTCGGTTACTCACCGTCACACCACCGCCACCATAAGCCAGCCGACTCTTCAATCGTTTCTGTTTGATACATGTTCTGTTTTAGGGCTTTTCAAGACGAACCCAAGTAAGCACATATTTTATGGATTACCTTATTCTATTTATTACTACTATCGGATTCTTTCTGGGTCATAGGGCCAATTCCATAAATCCGTCAAAAATAGTGGTCCTAATTGACGAAACAACTGCACTTCTAGAAGCAGGTGTTCTTGTCATTCGTTTGGTTGCTGGAGAATTTGATTTTCACACCCCGGCTATTATCGCTGACATAGTTGCTGATTTCAAGATCTATATTTGTCAATTATTTCCTCAATTCAATCTACTTTTTTCATTGCTATAGCTAATAGATGTTCAAATACCAACATTTATTTAATACTATAAGCCACAATATCATCATATCATAAAAATAGCAAAAAATAAGTAACTATAACTACAAAATTGCACCACACCATTCGAAACTCTTCCAAACGGTGGCACAATAAACATTCAACTCTAAGGTGTTTTTTGTTTTTTAGAAACAAAAATCTATAAAATCTGCAAACCACCTTTGCAACTCTTTGTAGTAGAATATGTGGATTAAACGGTTGCAGACTGTAATAAAAAATATGTTTGTTTTTTAACTTCTGCAGACTGCTGCAATAAATTGAAATTTAAATAAACTGGTTTTATAAACCGATAATAATTTTCCAATACCGAAATTTTAATAATTCTAGTCTTAAAACATTGAAATAAATTCATACAATCAAATTAGTGTTACAAAAACAATTTGAAATAAAATCATACAACCAAATTTTAATAATTCTCATTCCATATTTTACATCAACTGTTTGACAATTTCATCTCATAACCGAGTCATATATGCACGGCCTGTTGCAGTATTATGTGTTGCAGTCTCATCTTCATCACCATAAACGGACACATTGTTATTCTGACATTCAAGATAAACAAGTAGTTAAACATACGTCTCAACTTATAAACTTATGGCTTGCGAATATATCTCAACAATCAATATAAACATGTTTGACCAACTCCTCACAATAACATAAACAAACAAGAAAATTCTCAACATATCAAAAGGTAATAACAACAAACAAAGAACAAAGATCAATATAAACAAGTATCATTTCTTCCATGAATATGGTTTTTTACATATGGACGTTCTACAAATTTTAGTTCCCAATTTGTAACATCCATAAAATTCATGAAAATTTAAAACATTTTCAAGCATCCAAAAACCATTATTTATTACAAAATGTTTTCAAAATAGTTCCATATCAAAGTATCCCAGAAATCAAAATCATAAAATGTAAAGTGGTGCACGATCAAGCATTTGCCTTCCCGCGGTCGTCCAAATTACCTAAAACAAAATCCAAAACTGTAAACCCGAAGCTTAGTGAGTTCCCTAAAATACCAACATCATACAAACCAAAACAATATCATAACAAACAACATGCATATAGAGTTTGTAATATGACTAGACCGCCCTCACTAGGCCTTCAGTCTGTCTGGCCCACTCTCAGAACCTTCCGCATGTCTGGTCCTCCCTCTCGGGACTTCAATCTGTCTGGACTGTTCTCTGGGCCTTCGGCCTGACTGATACGCCCTGATGGGTCTACAGTCTATCCGGACCGCCCTAGGTCTATTGGCCTTCAGCACAAAACAGGACGACCTTAACCCAACCCCAAACATACAATCAAAACACACACACACACATTATATATATATATATATATATATATATATATATATATATATCAAACGCTAGCTAGCATGTACAAGCAGTCAAATCGATCTTACAGATCACTAATCATAGCGTCATCCTATATACTAGAATACCGACCTAACATGTCACTAAGCATATCATCATGCAATAACCAAGATAACAATCCAAAAAGGGCCAACGTTGGTGCCTTCGACCCTGTTAGTATAGTGAGTACAACTCACCTCACAAATAGTGTTGAACTGGACTGAAAGTCTCTGACCACTATCTCACCGAAAATCCCGAACTATACAAAATAACGAATACTAAGTCAACAATTGGGATATCAATCTTTGACCAAGGGTCCAACCTAGGGTAATAGTCCATTTTATCCTTTCCTTAAGTTGGTCCAAGGCCCAACTCCGATTTGTTAATCCAAAATCCCAATATACAAGGCCTATAATTGGCCCAATTTTCCAAATTGGGCTCAACTCCCTAATTGGACCTCATTTAAGATCCATTACCAGAATTGGCCCAAAACACACCTATTAAGAAAGTCCAACAAGGCCCAAGTCAAATTGGTCCAAAGGTAGCCTAATCAAATCGTCAAAAGCCCATCAGAATGTGTACGTTGGGCGTACTCTACCTTGCGTTGACCACCATCGGTATGGTTGACTCGGTACGTTGGGCGTACAAAACTTACGCGAGGCATACTCGAGTTTTAACAAATCCTTAATAAGTGTTTAATGGCTTAAACACTTGAGCCCAAATTCCAGATCCATGAACTAAACGAACCTCAAAACCATAAAGTCTCAAACTTAAAGACTTTGGACGCCCAAAAAGTCCTCAATACATGGTCTTACCCCATTAAGACCTGTCTACTACATACATGGGACACTTTTAGCCATTGGGACATCATTCTTATCATTTAGAACGCTTTCTAGGGTCTGAAAAGACAACTTAACACGTCCAAAACACATCATGCACAAACTTGGGACTTTTTAGGACAAAGAAGGTGTCATAAAGCTAATAAGGCAATATCTACATCATACAAGCATAAAGGTTGGAGCTTTTTACCTTATGGAGTTGGAGCTTTTTACCTCGTGGAGCTTCTAGAGAACAAGATAACTTCAGAACTTCAAGCTTACCTTCCTTCTCCAACTTCTTAATGCAATACCTTCTTCTTCAACTACTCAAAACACACACTTTTAGCTCACACACTCAAGAGAGGGATTAGGGTTTGGGGTAAACGGCTCAAAGCTATAGAGACTGAAATGATAGAGGGTTATGAGCTCATAAGGACGTTTATATAGCACCCAAACCCTAAATATTAGGGTTTCCATCTGACGTGAGGACGCCCAACATACACAAGTGTGCGCCCCAACGTACTAGGGCGCGCCTATTCCGCTCAGTGTACCTTATGTACGCTTAGCATACTCTTCTTGATCCCAAAGTTACAACCTTAGCCCTTAGGCTTCTCATGGCTTCACTCTTCCATCCCTAGGAACTACAAATGACAAAATAATAATAAAAGTGAGGATTTAGAAATACCTGCAAATCTCAGGATGTTACATAATTTATCCAAACTACAATCTACTAACCTACTGTACAAAAAAATCATTCATATGGATGATTAATTAGCAACTTGTTTTGATCCTGTCATGGTGGCACTAATAGCAGCTATAAATGCAACCGCAACTCCACCAAGCTTTACACCACCTCCAACTTTACCATCTTATTTTGATCTTTTCATGCTTGTCTTTGTCAGCCTCATTTTCTTTATGTTTCAACATACAATCTATATCATCCCACCAAGCTAAATCAACATAACAACAACATTTGGAAACAACAATCGATTCAACAAAATGAAATCAATTTCAGCAACATTTGAATGATAAACCAGGAAAAAAATTACCATGAGGATATATCGATTCTTGAAAAATTTCCTGGAGGAGAAATCGATTTCAGAAAAATTGATTTCAAGAACAATCAATTTTATAACAAGTTTGCAAGATATAGTCGAGATTTAGCAAGAAAAAATGAAAAAAAGGTGAAGCGACTATTCAATAAGAATAAGCGAAAAAAAGCATACTTGATGGAGAACGGATGACCAGCGATGGCGAAGGTGACAAGGAAGGAAGTTGTGTCAGGGAAGGAGGTTACGCCCGAGTAGGAGGCTACAACGACAGGTGGATTCGACCAGAGAGGAAGCAGTCGGAGTCGAGGGGAGAAGTAAAGGGTACGGCGTGAGGGTTTTCAATGTGTCCAGTTCTTTTTTATGTTTAGGCTACGAAGAGGTTTGAAGAGAAAAGCCCATTTATGTATGGTGTAGATGACGCGCAGAGTTTTTTAAGCCTTAAGCCTTCTAAAAAAACGGTTGCGATAAGGAAAATGTTGTGTCGCGGAAGGCGACAAGGAAGGAGGTTGCATCGGGGGAGGAGGTTGCGCCCGAGAAGGAGGCCGGAACGACATGTGGATTCGACCGGAGAGGAAGCAATCAGAGTCCAGGGGAGAATTAAAGGGTGTGGCATGAGGGTTTTTAATGTGTCTAGTTCTTTTTTTAGGTTTAGGCTACAAAGAGGTTTGAAGAGCAAAGCCCATTGATGTGTGGTGCAGATGACGCATAAAGTTTTTTAAGCCTTAAGCCTTCTAAAAAACAAACTGTTGCGAGACGGAAAATGTTGTGTGTATGCTACGTCGCACAACAATAAGTGGTCAGAAGAGGTTTTTTAACAAAAAAAAAAAAAAAAAAAACCTCTAATGTAACACCTGTAGATCCGGGCTAGTCAACTTAGAGACGATAAGCGTCAAAAATGACTTTTTGATGAAATATTATTTAGAAGGAGTAATCTTAACTAATTTGTAGTATACGTTACAAGGATTTCGTATATATAAAGAACGCCGAAATCCGAGTTATAACGAAGAAGTTATGACATGTCGAAGTTTTGCGACAGAACCAACACGACGCCGAATGACGTAAAATACGAATTTAAGATAGAACGATATCTAGCCTTAGTAATCTAAAAAAAAGTTGAAGATTTCGTTAAACCGAGAGCATGCATAAAAGAACGTCCAAATCTGACTTCGTATG